AGCCTAAGCTCCATCGCTGAGTGGGTGGACAGGCATCTGTGGTCAAAGGTCAAAGGTAACCTGTAAATAGGACAGAAGTTAAGGGGTGTGTGTGTGTGTGTTCTTGTTGGGGAGCGGGGAGGTCGGGAGGCAGGGAATAGAGGGTCAGTCATTTTCCTGGTAAAACACAGTTAAGAGAGAAGGAAGATCAAGTGGAATGGCATAAGACAGTGTTTTTCAAACTGAGAGTTGCCACCTGTTACTAGGTCATAAAATCTGTTTAGTAGTTTGGAATCAGCATTTTTTGTAATGAAGTGGAATAGAATACAATAAAAATAGCATAGTGCATCACATACAACAAAGGTAAATATTGTTTTGGGAAACTTGTTTCAGTTATAATAATGGCTAATAGTTAAGCACATGACGTGTGTCAGGTACTGTTCCAAACTCTGCACATATGTTAATCCATAGAATCCCCAGAACAGCACTATGAGAGAGATGCTGTATTTTAAGTTTTGTATTTGAGCACCGAGGATAAGAAACTTGTTGAAGATTGTGTCGTGGCTAGGTGGTAGAGCCAGGATTCAATCTCACGTCGTCTAACTGCAGAGCTCCTGCCCATAACCACTCTGCACTTGCCTCAAACTTCAAAACAGACTCTAGAAGCCTTTCAATAAACCAAGCTAACCACCCTCCCTGCTCCTCCTTTCTTGCTCTAACTGCCTTCCCTATACGTGCATGCAAAACAGAACTATTTTAATGTGCATGGTCTTTTACTCTTAAAAAAAGAGAGGTTGTAAAATTAACTAGAAATAGGGATTTATTATAACATAGCATAGTATCAGGTCCCTTGCCCTCTCTGATAGCTTCAAAAAGAGTACCCACTGCCTTCTCTACCACCATGGGATAACCTGTAAAATATTCCTGATCTGAAGTAGTTTCTACTTAACTTAGATACTAACTAGGAAAAAAAAAAAAAAAGTCAAGATAATGAAATAGCAATCAGAACTTAAAGGAAAAATTACTGAAACTAAAATATGTGGCATGTGTTTATATTTAAGATTCGTTAGTTCTCTATACTTTAAAATAAAAGCATACCATAAATATGGTGAACATGAAATCTAAAGCGAAGTAGCCCAAGAAGGCTGACAACCTTTTAAAGACACCCTTAAGAAGGCATTTATGGAAGCCCTAATGTGTAAAACCGATCAAAACATTTGAGAGTCCTTATTTTTTGTTGGGCTATGATTATTATTAGTAAATGATAATCTTTGAAGGTAATTCCGAATGTGTTATTTTGTTACAGTCTCTGGTTGGGGTATAGCACGTTTTTTGTTCATTCTGTTTTTTACAGGTAGATGGGAAAGTCAGCATAAATGGAGAGACAGTTCATGGAGAGGAGGAGGAGAAGCAGAGAGAGTGCCCCACGGTGGCACCCGCCCCCTCCTTAACCAAATCCCAGATGTTCGAAGGTGTGGCCAGAGTGCTTGGGTCCCCCGTGGAGCTGAAACAAGACAACAATAGCATCGAGATCAACATAAAGAAGCCAAATTCTGTTCCCCAAGAACTGACAGTAAGAACCAAACTTTCTGTTTCGCTCTTTGGGATAATTCCAGGGTGGAAGCATCTGTTTTTTAACATAAGTAGATCATGATAATGATCATTTCTTTCTATGTCAGTGTATTAGTTTGTAGGGCTGTCGTAACAGAGTACCCCAAACTGGGTGGCTTAAACAGCAGAAATCAATTGTCTCATGGGCCTGGTGGCTAAAAGTCTAAAATTAAGGTGTTGGCGTGGTTGATTCCTTCCGTTGGCTGTGAGGGAGGATCTGTTCTGAGCCTCGCTTCTGGCTTCTGGTGGCTGCTGGCAATCTGGACTTTCCTTGGCTGATAGATCCATCATCCCACTCTCTGCCTCGGTATCCACATGGCGTTCTTCCTGTGAGCATAGCTGTGTGCAGATTCCCCCTTTACATAAGAACACTAGTCATGCCAAAGTGGGTCCACCCTACTCCCCTACGACCTCATCTCAACTAGTGACATCTGCAACAACCCGATTTCCACATGAGGTCCCGTTCTGACTATTAGGGGTTAGGACTTCAACATGTAAATTTCAGGAGCATAATAATTCAACCCATAACTGTGGGATATAATAGAAGGTAATATAATTTATGAACAAGAAATTACTTTTTCTTATCTTCACATTATTAGTGTCCAGTGTTATAGAAGAATAAACAAATCTTTGAAATACCTTTTTTTCTGTTTGTTCAGGACCTTATCAGACTTAATACTATTTGAAAATAACTGGTTCTCTCAGAATCAGGATTTTCATCTTTTACAATAGATACATAAAAGCATCTTTTTCTTATTAATTAAGAAATAAAAATGCATTAAAAATAAAACTAATTTTTACTGGCTTAACCTTTTAAATTCAGAGTAATTGAAAGCACTAAAGACTATTGCATGGCCAATCTAAAAAATGTAGGGAAATTCAAGCACAGTAAAAAAGAGAGCTCAAAATCACGTTATATTTGCTGCTTTGGAGCATAAAACATCATCGGGATGTTGAGCATTTTTTCATATGTTTTTTGACCATTATTCTGTCTTCCTTTGAAAAGTTTCTGTTCATGTTCTTTGCCCGCTTTTTGATAGGGTCGTTTGATTTTTTCTTGTTGATTTTCCCAAGTTCTAAGTAGATTCTGGTTATCAGCCCTTTATCGGATTTGTAGCATGCAAAAATTTTGTCCCATTCTGTAGGTTGTCTGTTTGCTCTTGTGACCATTTCTTTGGCTGTGCAGAAGCTTTTTAATTTGATCAGGTCCCATTAAAAACATGAATTTTAAAGTGAGAAGAATGAGTATTCTAATCCCACCTAAACAATTTATTAAGTGTATGATTAGTCTTCTTCCTCATCAGCAAAATACAGATGTTAATAACAATACTTATTCATAGGATGTAAGAAAGGGTTGAATACTATAGTAGATGTAAGGCTCTTTTTTCCTTAGTTTTATGGTAGTATAAATGATAAAAACTGTACATATTTACAGTGTACTATGTGATGTTTTTTGAACCCTGACTTGAGCATTACAAAAGCAATCCATGTAACCACAAACATTTGTGCCCCCATAATACTTTGAAATTTAAAAAAAAGAAAAACAAATGACACGATCTGAAAGAAATCGTGTTATGTGGGAAGTTTATACACTATCACGAGGAGAACGCCGAACAAAAGGTGGCCTTGCGGACTTTCTTCCTGGAAACCAGCCTGATCCAGGGCAGGCTCCAGGTGCAGGTCCAAACTCAAGGGAAAGTCTGGGCGTGTCTTCCTTCTGTGTAGTCTTTCCTTGGTGAAACTGCCTGGTTCAGAGTAATATCTAGTTTAATAAACGCTAATGGTTCTGAATAGGGAGTCGCTTTCATGAACCCTGTCTGTAGTGTAATACTTAAGGCTCTTAAATTGACTACGGCAGGAGCTATTATGTTATTTTCTGGGTAGGTAACCACCTGTATATATCTATCAGAATAAAAGCAAAGTTCTTAAGCTGCACTTAAAAAAATACACAGAACCTCGGCCTGCAGCTTACGACACCAACAGTTTTCCATTCAGAGGGTGTCATCCCGAAAGTCATTTTAAAAGGATCACTTCTCCAGGAAACCTATTCCACATTTTCCTTCCTTCTCCATTTTTCCAAGAAAAGCATTTCTTGACTGTGTTACAGCCAGTATACTCCTGTTTAAAAAGTGGAATTAATTGGTCATGGCCAAATACGGCGGCCAGCTTAACACGGGAGGCATTTCAGAACCTCCCAGGGATCTGATACCAGCTTGGACTTGATTTTCTGTTTCTAATTCATTTGCCCAATCCTGTGGGGCTGTCAAAGGAATAGTGTTCCTCTTTGTAAATGGCGTCTTTCTTCCAAAAACTGCGTTCCCAACAGACACACTCTCTACAGAGGAGTAGCCTCACCCACCACGGAAATGTCACAACGCCTTTGGGGCGAGCTGGAACTGTTCAAAGGGCAGAGCAGAGCAGCAGGCAGGAGCAGTGATGCAGGACGGGAGGCCGAACAGCAGAGGAGGGCGGCCGCAAGACCCAGTGGGGAGAAGGATTAGCTAGAGAGCCAGACTCGGGGGCAGGCATGGCGACTTTTGTACGACATTCTTCAGTTTCCTTCTGCCTCATCTTTCTCATTTGAAATTCTCGGGACCATCACTTTCTTACTTTAGAAATAGATCCTAAATTAAGTTTGGAGTTTGTTTTGTTTTTTTAATACTTTGGCTCTACCTATTGATACCAGCAAATTTCAAATCATCCCCAGTTGAATCACCGCAATGGTAATGAGATCAAATACCTTGCAAAGGTACCTGTTCGCTGATGAGTGTGAATTACAGACCTAGTCTGGCACCCTGTTTTGGCAGGGCGGTTGTTTTGTTTCGTTTTTTGAGACAGAGTCTCACTCTGTCACCCCAGGTGGAGTGCTGCGGCGTCATCACAGCTCACTGCAGCCTCAAACTCCTGGGCTCAAGAGATCCTCTTACCTCAGCCTCCCGAGTTGCTGGGACTACAGGCGCACACCAGGACACCCAGCTAATTGTCACCGGTTTTTTGAAATAGAAGAAGAAACTTATAAACTTGCTGGGGAAACATTTTCTTAAAGCCACTAGAAAAACATATAAAAGAATATGTAATTAAATATAGTCACTTTCCAACTTAGATTTTCAACTTCACAATTGTGCAAAAGCAACATACGTCAGTTATATTTGTATTTGAATGTCTTCTTTCCTTGATGGTGCCAATGAGTCTTTCCTAAAATACCTAAAGTACTCAATGCACTAGGCCAAAGATCAAACTCCACCTGAACAGGTTAAACTGTCTCAGCCTCAGTTTACATTTAAGCATAGTAATGAGAGTATATGCATCAGATGGTTATTGTCAGAATTCATGTCTAGAGAGCAGTTGGCGTGACGTCAAGGTGACTTATAGACCACAGGTGCCCTGAAATTTTTAATATTGTCATACAACAAATGGGAGAAAGGAAGTGATAATACATTTTTCAGAAGCCCACAAAGGTGACAGGTGTGAAGTTTTTTGGATTAAAGTAAGATTGTCAAAATTACTATCTCGAACGGATGAGAATTTCGTGCCAATGGGATGAATTCCTTGTGGTCTTCCAGCTCCGCGTTTTAGCTGTTTCAGTTGTAAATCTCTGAATAACACACGGATATGAACAGCTCTTTCCAGAAGACAGGTGCCCTTGCAGATTCTCACACGATTCTTCCAGCGGCTCTTTTTGCCTCTCCTGTTGTTCGTTCTTGCCCAGTTCTCGCCCCTGCCACCTAGACTCCCCAGCTGTTGACCAGCTCGCTCTCTCCAGCTCATCTCTAATGACGTTCCCAGGCTCTGACCCGGGCGGGCACCGTCCCACCAGATTTGTGGCAATCCTCCCTCATTGCCCGAGGGTCAAACTCAGCTGCTGGGTATCTAAACTACTTCATCTCCCTTTCTCAAACCAAGTAACAAGGTGGGTCTGTTTTTCCCATTTTGAAAAAGGGATAGGCCTTCCTCTTGAAAATTCAGTACTTTTACTTATGTCTTCTGATCCAGGAAAACAGACAATCAGATCTTTCTTGAAACATTTTATTTTGCAGTGAGAGCAGGGTGGAAGGCATTTGAGTAGGTGCTGTTTTCCTTACAGCTGAGACCAACTGCAAATTCCTTTTAGATGTCAAATGTCAACAAACATCTCTTTAGAAACTCGTTTTATCCATCTAGAAGTAATTGTAAGACTGTTAGGTTTCATGCTCTTTAAAAATCATTAAAGATATTTAAATACAGATGTGTTTATAGATTTCAAGAAAGCATACGCCCGGAAAAATAAAAAATTAAACTTGGCCTAATTATCCAGTTACCTGGATCAGAGCCTCGTATTGTTGGTTTGAAAAGTTTGGAGCAAAAAAATAGTTTAAGGCATGGAGAGCCTTATCCTCCACGTGGATTCCTTCCTTCCAGTGGCAGTAGATATTTGGAGGTAGAAGAGTGAACGGAGAAACACATGCCCAGCGTATGTGGCACCTGGATCACGGTGCCAGGACATAAATAGACTGACTTTCCAGGCTCGTGTCCAGATGAGTTAATCAGCACTAGAGCCAGGAAATCGCTCCGAGTGACAGAATGGCTGCTCAGGAAAGGACCTTGGCCATCACTTGTTTCCACCCCCAGAGTTAAACCATCAGTCCAAGCCCCTCAACTCCTCTGCGCTAGAAACAGGAGCACCCCCAAGCCCGAGGTCTTGGGACGGCGCTTGACCCTCTTATTTCTAATTCATCTTCCAGTATCACCCTCTGAGCCAGTCCAACAACAAGATTCTAGTTAACGGGCCGGGCGCGGTGGCTCAAGCCTATAATCCTAGCTCTCTGGGAGGCCGAGGCGGGCGGATTGTTTGAGCTCAGGAGTTCGAGACCAGCCTGAGCAAGAGCGAGACCCCATCTCTACTAAAAATAGAAAGAAATTAATCAGACAACTAAAAATATATAGAAAAAACTAGCCGGGCATGGTGGCGCATGCCTGTAGTCC